TCATACATTTATTATTACGTGAAAAATGTTATTGTATCCATATTCTGACCAAATAGCTGATAATTTCGACATATTTTAACTTAAGAAAATCAGTAAAGTTACAGCAATATTGACTGAGACATCATATACCATTTGTAAGGGAATGAATAAAACCTCTATTGAAAAATAACCTTATTTGTTGACGTCTAGTACGCTTCGGAGAGAAATAAATTTGTTCTGGTGGATACGTCGAGCCTCGGAGCCCGGCGCCCGGTTCCCGGCTCTACCCCGAAGGCGTCTTATTGAATGCTGACATCCATAGACTTCGACATAGATAAGTTATTGTGAAATTCTCAGAATAGTCACCAATTTACTAACAATGAAAGTACACGATAAATTTATTCAAATCGAGCTTTCATGTCTCTCAGTCACCTGTTCCGAAGTTATTACTATTTGTTTATTTTTTTATAACTAAGCATTATTATGTTTGCGATGTGATTAAGCAAGCAATAACCAAGCTATTTCTTCTCAATATCTATTATCTTTTCACACACAAGTTTGTATAAAAAATCATGATCTCTCATTTATATGCTAATTAAAATAGTTAATTTAAAAAGAAAGCAAAAAGGTAACTATAAATTTATTCTTTCTTAGATAAAATAAGATTACAACTTGAACAGTACTGAATTCACACAAATCGGGACTTTAGAAAAACAACGCAGAAAGTATGACATCCAAAAGGTAGAAGTATATCAAAAAGTTTGCATTGAACTTTTTAATATCATGTAAATAACATATTATTTCATTAAGTAACCGCGACGATGACAAATAATAGGTAAGGATGTAATATCAAAGATTTAAAAAGCTATTCGTTTCACTTTGTAAAAGGAAAGTCATAAGGTATACACTCCCAAGGCAAAGCGACCACTGCACTGTTATTTATCACCTCTATATGACAGATGCATTACGTGGAACTATGATAGAGACCTGTTATTTCGAAAATAAATAAGTTGTCGGTTCTCGGAAATACACAAGTCAAAGTTTAGATTTTGTTTCTGTCTCGGTGGTTCAATTTCAATCAACTCGGAATCCGATTGCTACCTTTTGACCTTGACTTTTTCATTCTAACGTCATATATCTCTGTCATTTTCTATAAAACACAGAGACGTTAAATTGTTCTTGTAGATGTAACTACAATGGAAACTTAAACGTTAGAATGTACAAATAAACGGTATCTTCAGTTTTATAATTGTAAATATTAAATAGCGAATTAAACGTTTGCTAAAGCTTTATTTGAAGAGGATTTATTCTCAAAAAGTTGAACTGATAAATGGAAAAAACTTTTTTTTTAATGTTTATTCGAGTTTGCACATTTTAGTAAGATATATTGATATTATTACAAACATTAAACGCCTATGTTATGAGAATACAGATACAATAACAGAGTATTCCGTGCTCGAATCCGAGTCCGAAGTCAACATTTGTAAATAACATTTTCCTTCCGATTTTTTGTGAGCGTTTGTTTGTAATGTTTTGCCCTCTTGAATATGTTTTCCGCAGATGAGAATTTTACTCGTAAAAATGCTTTTTAATATGCAAAGAATAAAAACGAAAATCTAAAAAGGTGTTCAAAGCAACGTAATGGGAAAATGTAGAAACAAACATCATATCATATATATAACATTTGTTTTTTGATGTTTTTTACTCAATTCCAGTCGTCCTAATAATCATACTTATACCTGACTGAAAGTTAGGACTACTTAAAACTAAATTTTGGAAATAATTAACTGAATCAATTTTACAAAAAGTCTCAACACAGACAGAAAATACAATCAAGAGTATTTAAGCAATAGCACTTTACTACTTTATTTTATTTTAAAGATCAAGGCAAATGCTGTGAAATCTCTGCCACGGCCATTTTTTAACGCAAGTGATAAACGACCTCGTTACTGTTTTATTAAATGTATTAACGTAGAGAGAAATTGTACATAATGTCATAAATATTTCATGGCTAATTTGTACCGACAGTGAATAACAAAAAGTTTCGGCAACTGGTTTAATGTACTTTTCGTGCCTTTTAAAAATGGATCACACGAGTACATACAAGGACAATCTCCGTATTTCTAAAGAAATAGAGAACCTATTTAGATAGCTTTTGTGTCATTACGACCTTTGAGTCATAAGTACCTAATGTAGTGTTTCAAAACAAACTTCGAGTATTGCAAATTTTGAATTTATCAGTTATCAGAACATAGTTTTATAAATTGACTCAAAATACATTATGAAGAAATGAGTAAATAAAATTACCCACATACATAACGTAGATTACCAGATATTTTGATAGAGTTTAATAAAATCGCATAATGTAACGTAAAAAATATATTTTGGGTTAAAGATCCTCACGATGTGCAGCTCATTAGCGGCCACGTTACATATTTTCGGAGTATCTAGGTTAAATACTTTGATAGAAAAAATCACGAAGTTTTCTCCGTGACTATTATTGTGGTGAGGTTTTAAAAGTCTGTTTGCATAACGTGGGCCAAACGGGCGGACGGCGAGCGGACGCGGATGGAAAGATTGAACAAATTCCGTTCAATATTACTTTCGGCCCGATATCTTTTTACGAAGTTATTCAACGGATAGTTCTAACATTTTTTCTATTCCGTAATAATACCGTTCGGTTTGCAGTACTCTTGAAATTGTTACACGAAACGAATACAAACAATATTTAGTTATTTACTGACTTCCAAAAAGAAGGTGGTTCAATTCCATTCAATTCAATTCGTTTGTATTTTTTAAAATTTATAATACAAATATTTGTTGCCTTATATAAGTCAGAATAATATAGACGTAGAAATAAACAGCTGCATTTACGCTAAGTAAAATAAACTCTAGACTCCTCAATACATTTGTAAGTTATTAAAAATTTATCATATTTACTTAGTTTTGAAGTCAAAGGAGTCGGAGTGCTGACTATAGTGTAAGGGGAATGTATAATATTGCTGGCTGAAGTGGTCGTTGGACGTTATTCTATATGGAAACCACGTACGAGGCCTGCAGCATCGCTCGCATGCAATACATATTTGTCAGCCGCAGGAACGATCTTAATTAACTCACATTTCAAAATATGCGTATTACATATGTGATCTATCTATATTTTGTAATGTCGTATTGTTACCTCTATTTTTTCATAGATAATGGGAGATAGCCTAAAAGTTTCTTCATGTGTTTCGCCAATGAAAACTCACTGCAGCAAAAAATATATTACCTGTACACATATACGCTTATTACAAGTGCTCATTACATCCCAGTTCTCCAGTAAATCTATGTCTATTCATGTTTTATACTAGTTTTGAAATACCTGGGAATTTATCTTCGAGTGCCCTACGGTTATTTGAACAAGTCGAGTCAGTAGAGGCTTGCAGCGTTCTGCACTAGATTTGGTGATTTTCGAAGTCTTCTCGAGCGACTTGTTTTCTACAAACGTTAAGATGACAATAAACTATAGACTCGAGAAGTTTTAAGACAACTAGATACAGTATGTAAGTTGGTTTTCGATTCATTGTTAGTTTAATTTTTAATCGTGAATGTAGTCAAAGTTTCATAAATTTACTTTTATTAAAAGGTGTCACGAACAAAATGTGGACACTTCACGACTACAAAGGGAAATCTGCGAATACTATGTACTAAAAAAAGAGTTGTCAATTTTATAGAAACAATGGAAAAATTTATTACACGGAAAAAATTCAACTGTTGTACAATCTCAAATCAAACAGAGCACAATAGTTTAACGAACGTGTGCCACCACTCTTTTGTAACGAAATAAAAAAGTAGAGTCCTGTCGCACAACGAGAGTATGTAAACAAGCTGCACGGTACACAGCGGGCCATTCGCTCACCTCCCTATATCCGTTACAGCTTCAAAGCTGAAGGGTAAAAAAATCCCGCACGGTGTTTTTCCGTGCGCATACAAATACAAATGATGCTCTCTACATTTTTCAATATGAAATGCCACGATATTAAGTGAATATTCCAACACAAAGTACTATATTACATGATTTTTTTTTCTGAAAGAAACATACTTCATTAATAAAGAGATGTTAATGTTCTGATTCCCATCAGTTTACCTATTTTTCTAATGGATTAATTTTTACTAATTTCTTGGCGTGCTGTCTAAATTATTTACGACAATTAAAAAATATCTACGATGTAATTCTGCAATTTTGTTAAAGTTGAAATTCTTAATTGATCAATATCAGAACGAATGTGCTCAAATCGAATCGGGAACGCTTAATGTTTGCCGAAACAGAAATCTCAAATTTATCATAATCATTACGGTCATTGGGCTCACCAGAATTGGCTTTTAAATTCCGCAAAATGTTGCACGGAAGCAATTTATACTGAAAGGTCGAAATAAAAGTACATGTGTTTTAAATTACACACTGACGTGATATTTCGTATTATTTAAATTATGTTTTCTCATTTAAAAAAAAGTATATATTATTTTACAATCAGTTTTAACTGTCTTATTTAACGTGAATTTACTGTGTTTTATCAAATGTTTCTTGTTACGAATGTAGATATAGTTTTACCTTATAATTAATTCTCTCTATAAGGAATCTCCAACATACAAACGTAAAAATAGCTTGGCCAATAATTTGCCAGTATTTATTATTTCTCTATCACTGATTTATGTAGAGCGGGACTGTGCAATATTTCTTGGCCAACATTATTTACTAAAAACCTCATGGGTCTACAAAAGGGAAACGGATGGAAAAGGGACATAAGTTTTACTTACAGGTACAAAGGAAATCGATTTAGCATAGCTACAGGCAATTTATTACTATGGAGGTACTGGCTGGCTAAATTATTTATTTTATTTATGACTCCTACAAGCGCATGTTTAATAGTCGTTCTTTGTTAAAGGGAAATCCTTGATATTTTCGGAAATGCGTTTTTTAACAATGGATTAACCCTAACCTGATTCCTTCATAAAATAAGTAAACAAAGTTTCCTACTATGAAACATTTAAGTTAATTTGTTATATTATTATTTAGAAGTGGTATATTTAAGTGTGTATCAACATAACTATTTCAACTACTATATATTTCATATACTTGTAATAACTACATTTAATTAAATATATTAGATCTAAGAGAATTTAATGAAGTCTTATGGCCGTATTTCTCCGTATATTGTTATAAACTTCGTAACTATCTAATGAATATTGATGGCGGTTTTCCCGCCAACTAAACGTTTCCTAAGAAATCCTTAAAGCTGTTCATGGTATAGATACATCAAATAATAACAAAAGAGAAAACAAACATGAGCAAGATTATTCAGCTTACTAATAGATCGCTTATTTTTTTTAATACATTAATTTGCGGTTAATATTATTTAATGATTTATACCTCAATAAATATGGCATTCAAATATGTTATTGTAACTTTTAAAAAATGTCGTTGTATCATCATATCGTTGTATGACGTAGATTAAATCAAAGTTCATCAAGTACATGTAGATCTGGAACTGGCGTGATGTATGACTTCCCTGTATTCACGTTGAAACCTAATAACTGCGCGGCTGCTTTGCAATGCTGGTAGGTGTCGGGCATGTCGTGGAGGCGTGCTAGGGCGAATGCGGTGCCATCGTCGCAGTTCATGATGCCCATGTAGCGGCCTACTGTTTTCAATCGGACGTCTGTCGCGTGTACGTGTGGAACGTCACGCTCTGTAAAAAAATAGTACTAAGATATCATTACTAGACCAATACTATCCAAGGTTATGCTTTAGAAGAGGTGGGGTTGAGAGAGCAATGTGTTTACAGTAGTATGAAATTAAAAGAAACCGTTACCTCTCGAACAAGTATGACGGTATAATGGTGTCACACCTATAAAACTTCCCTCAGGCCACTTACCTCCGTCCCATTTCCGACCTAACTTCCACAACTTGACTCATAATGATAATAAACCGAGAGAATTTTATATTTTTCTCTTTCCTTGATGCTTTGCTAACGAACGTAACCGTTTTACTCATTAGCAACGTGCCCGCCATAACGCTCCTAGGTAACAATACTTACGAAACTTCTTTTCACCAATTTTTAAAAAAGTAAAATAATACATTACGGTTGCGTGAAAGATAATGACAACAAAACAATCTGTAATAATTTAAAAAAAACTTATCAGTTCCGTAAAATACTCTGTAAATGAGTAAGCTCTGAAACACTACAAAAACGAGAAAGAATATTTTTGGAAATAGGAGCACATTACTAAAAAAAATCTCTTATTCACCATTCTCGTGTTTTTCACCCTTAACAACTGCGAGGTAAGATCCTGGAAGGGGTCTGCTAAATAGCAACACTTTCACATCAGGCCTGGGCTCCATGAACAGTGCAGCTTTCTCCCATTCAATATTCAGCTCTGGATTGTAAGTCTCCACAAGTGTCCTAAAATTGCTTATCTTCTGCAATATTAAACAAGTCTTTTGTAAGAATAAATAACGTAGGTATGTGTGTAGTTTGTATTGTTAGTGATGACTTTTTCACATGCCACTTTGTGAATGATGATGCAATTCGCCGAATCTTACAAACGGTTAGTTTTGACGACCAGTCAATGATTCTTATACAATTTTGTCTTTATAATAAGTAGAAAAGATAGCAATTTCGTGAAAAATACTTTAACATATCCATTGCAATTTAATTCCATGGCATTTTTTTATCTTTAATCGAGAAGACATCATTTCGTGAATTTGCTGCGAGTTGCCCCGTCACTTTTGATTAGGTCGGCAAGGTACCATTAAAGGAAAATAAAAAACTTTACGACAAATTACTACCTCGGTACACGTCGTGATTTATTTTACAATGTTCCTGCATAATTTCAATCCAATGTCCATTTAAATGTTGTTAAATTTCTTATGGTTGAGATTGAGATAATAAAAAAAAATCAAAGTCATAAGATGATGTAACATTGAACGGTAAAGAAGAGAAAACAAATTAACGTTACATACATGCATTATTTACCTTATCAGATGGCAATGAAAACAATATCGTCGAGACCTCCACTCCATTTGCCCAGAAATAGAATATTTTCCAGAGAGAATCGACGACCTCTTTAGGTTCGAAGTAGGCGTTTTGTTCAAATTTCTCGCAAGTAGTGGCGTCAAAATTATTCGGCTTGTTTAAATCTATTTCCGGAAGATTTCTCACGGGTAGATCTATGTACCCCGCCGCAGCGCTTAGCAGAACAATCTCAATTATACCGCGACTCAACATTGTCTGTCTGTATGTCTGTTGACGTAATCGCAAGAACTGTTACGCGCATCCACTTAAATTGAACCTCGGCAGCAAAGATTTTAAACGCAGAATCAACACGGTCGTTTGATACCTACAACCATTGAGGACTTCAATAAATAAATCGAACCGAATCTTATAAGGCAAAATAAAAAATAAAAATCTAAACATTTACACAAGTTCTTTTAGTATAAATAAAAATGTTTTGCATTCATTTACATTTCCACATAGATTCTTAAAAGGAAATATAACAACTCACCCCGGGGCCCGGAAGCGTTTCTATTATAAAGGGCCTTTATAAATGATGTAAACGATGACAGTTTGTTTGCGGCTGGCGACGTGTCAACTGGATAAATTGCACATGCCACGCTCTTTTATAATTTTACTGAAAACTTTAAAACATTACTTAACTATGTTTTGAATTAAATAGCATTTTAATTTAACTGCAAACTTGCTCAACGAATATACCAACTGTATTTTCACTTGAATCATGTGTTGTTAAGAATTACATTTTGCTTGACGATGCTTTACCGGTATTTCTGTGTCCTGGCTTAGTCAAGCAACTTTTCCCATTTTGGTTTATAACCATCTAACTTGATTCGTCGGATTTGCAACTTTAAGAAAGATACAAAGCAAAACCAAGGGAGTAAAAATAATAAATTGATTACAAAGATGTGATCATTTCTTAATTAATTTAAAGCGCCTTTAATGCAATAGCTCCACTGAATCGTTATCGATTCTTTGCGTTTTGTTTAAGAAAACTCTTTGTATTGTCGGAAATCGCGCTGGACGACTACGGAGAATATCTAGTCTTGAAAACAAAGGGATTCGTTTGAATTTCGCTTTTAAATGTGTTGTTGCGCATAGTTTCAAAATATTTGCTCGCAAAAATATTAAGACTTAACTATAATTAGTAAAAACTTCCGCATCTCTTGGGTTTTGTTTGTACTTATTTGTTCACGGAAGAAACCTTTCAATGTTTTTCTTTTAGACAATTTGTTTTGGAACTGATATCATTTTGCAAAACATTTGTAAGTTTTCATAACAGTTCCAGAGTCTATACTTTTAACCTAATTAAGTTTAGTTTTGACAGTTTGCGAGAATGCGATGCTATTTGTAAAGAGATGAAATTCCACAAATATTGTCTCAACAATATGCCGCCAGACGGCTTATCTGGCGCACGAAAACAAGAATATTTCCATTTCAATAAATGCCGGCTTTGATTTCGCTTAATCAACGTGCAATGATATGTTACGGGTTCGTTTACACTGCTCTGAACTTATCGTATCGAATTCTGTGCGCGTTGCTACGAGCCAATGATAAATTACTATCAAACATCGGGGGGAGGAAGTACTGAAGGGGCGAGGATCGGTGTACATAGGGAACAATAGCTGTGCACATTTTACAGAGCTCATTACGTCCTAAGCGTGACAGAACAATTGGGCCTATTTGATCGAATAGAAACCCATTAGGCTTCACCTTTTTTTAATTTCTTTAAAGTGAATTTTGATCGTCATTCTATATTTCTTATCACATAGTTTTTGTGTATTATTTGCAAAAGTGTTAAGCCTTATTTATATTTTATTAAAATATAAAATAAAAACGGTCACTAATTAATTCCTCTATCTATAAAGTTGAAAGGCCGTTGTAAAAAGACCAATACTACGTAAATTTTTTAATGGATGGACTTTATAAATAGTATAATATTAAAATGAATGGATGCAAAAAGCTTTATTTTATATAGTAATACAGACAGGCAAGTGAATCCTGCACGTAAATAGATTATGTAGCTTTACACAATAGTACATAGAAGTGGCATGTGTAACGAAATATGCCATCTGCAGCATGCGCAGCGCACTGGGATTACATAACCTCCAATCATCATCGTAAATTGTATATATTATTCAATATCCACTACAGAAACTCTGTGGATTTCCCTTTTTCCGAATGGATTCTGCAGCGCTTTCTCAATATTCAATTTCTTTGTTTAAACAACGTAATTGAATTGGAGGAATTGTAATGCGCAGCTATACCTTTCAATATTGTTTTAATAAAAAAAACTTTTACATTTAATTTTTAAATTGGTTTTGAATTGTAAGCGATCTAAAACTTAGGCCAATCTGTTCATATAGTACACTAAATTTAATGAAAAAACAGCGAAATCAATACAATTTTATAACAGTGTTATTTTGTTTGAAGTATGTGCTCTGTTAATAAATCTCTATCATCGAAATAACATGTTTTCTTCGAATTCTTTAAGAGTGTTCGAATGAAGTCATATTATATAGTTCCTACGTACTCTAGTTTCCAGAAAATCAACGTTTGACAATGTATCACTCGTATTTCTAGGGAGTTTTTCGAGAAAATCCTGTCATTACGATATACAGAGGCAAATGTTAAAATGAAACCGTCTCTAGATTCTAAATATTATTAGAACCACTCGTGCCGTATCGAAAATAAATTTATTTATGAACAACAAAGTTAGCTTTTCACTTCTAGTCTCATTTTCAAGCAACAGATTTATTACATTCGTTAATATAAATATAAATCTTACTAATATTATAAATGCGACAGTTTAGATGGATGGATGGATGTTTATTAGAGTTTGTACCCTAAACGACTGAACGGATCTCGATGAAATTTGGCACAGATGTAGAGGATAGTCTGAAAGAACACATAGGCTACTTACTTTTCTTTTTTAATTCCACGCGGACGGAAATGCGGGCTAAAGCTAGTATTAAATATTTGTAATCATTATTAAAAAAAAACTAGGGCGGTAACAATGTCTTCAACAATCAGTTATTACAAGTGAAAACAATAATTATCACTACAATAATATTCAAAGTAATTTCATTAATTAACATTATCTAACTAAATTTATCTTAGGTTACTTTTACTGTTGCCACACACATTATCTGTAGAAATTTTCGTTACATTTTTATTATAAAATCGAACGATTGTTACATGTGCCTATGTAATCGCATAAATTAATGTAAATAATGACGTATTAGTTACGTTTATCTTGGAGTTCACAGAGTATCGGTATAAGTTCTTATCTTCATGACATTTAATGCAATAGAAAGATAAAGCGGCAGAGATAATAAATGTCTGGCGAATTCGAAGCATATCTTGTAGGTCGCTTGTTTCATCTGTGAAATGTATCCGAAACAAGACAATTGAATTTTAGCTTAATCTTGGCACGGAGTACGCGTAATCACGTTTAACAGTTTCTGTTTAACTACGTATGTTGCTTGTTCGTAATTCATATTGTATTGCTCAGATAACTAACCTGACGGCGGATAGACTTGATTGTCTAACGTGAACTAGATATTACGATTTCGCTTTAGGAATACATAAGTTAATTATTTCGAATAGGTAAATTTCAATGTCGCTAATAAATGTTACAAGTTTCTTCTGCCCTAGATTTCTTAGTATTAAATCACTGTTTAATTTTTTTTTTAACTAACAATTAAATTATGTTTCTGTGATGCTTTTTTAATTAGTCGTTAGTAGTAATAATAGTTTTGGCTCTTACAATTTAATCCCCAGAGTAAAAATGTAAAACAAAAACTCAACTATAAACATTCGTGGTTTTTACAATTGGGTTATTTGAGCTTTTGGACACTGTTGCAGGTAAGAAACCCGATCTTACGAACATTTACTCAAAAAAGAGATTTTTGTTCACTACACTAAGTACTTACATAAAGTTAATCCGAATCATAAGAGATGTAAATTAGCTACGCGATACATACACACGAGTACAAGTACAAGAGGCGCGGTATCTTTTATCCTCTGAGGAGTTCTTGTTGCATAAAAAGCTGCACTTTATGTTTGTCGCAGTCTTGTTATATTTTATGGGATGTAAACGTCTTACTGCTGAATGTGAAAGTATCTCTGGCGAGTTCCTTGGTGTTTTACATGTGGCACTTTTGGTGAATATAGACTCCTTATGCAAGATAATGCAAAACTATAGATAGTCTTTTTCGAGGTCAGATTTCATTTATTTTTTAAATTTTAATTTTATATTTGCTTAGGTTTATTTGACAATAATTGCTCACTTTCAATTTCTGTCGCTCTGAACATTTTTCCGCGGTTTAAAGAAAAACTTTCTTATTTATCAAAAGAACATTTTAAAGGAAGAATTCGGTTTAAATCTTTGTTAATCTTTTATCACTAAATGTATGTGTTGGATGGAACTTTCAAGGAAATGCTACAATTTTAGTTAAGTGCTTTTGTGTAAAGGTTATGCATAAAGGAAAAAATGGCGCTGCGCATAGATAAGCTCGCTTAACCATTGTACTGAACTACGACTGTCTAAAAAAGATTAAACGCCGTTTCTCTCTTCCTTCACGGTTTTTTGAAATTGTGAAGGCAAATGTAAAAGAAATATGATGAATAAAATTGCTCAGAATTTCATTCTTTCATATGCAGATGTAACGTTAATTTATCGTAATTAGATTTTTAAGCAATATTGTAGGAGATTGGAATTGGGGTAAGAAGTACTTAATTATTTCTATAATACGTTATTAATTTGACGTCAATATACGAGTAATAATTATAATCCCAAAGAATTAAGATTGTTTACGCGATTTCAATATTTTCATAACGATCTATCATTACGATTCAAATCATATCACAAGTTTTCGCTATAATTACTATATTTTTTATAAATTGATGAAATTTCGTAGTTTAATAATGTTTTAATAACCATGATTTGTTAAAGTACCGAGCGCTACTCACGGCAGAAATAGGTTGACGTATCTTTAAGGTAAAATGTATTTGAAACACTATTTAATTTTTAATAGCAATGTGCTTAAAATGTCAGAAGAGCATTTCATCAGTGCTTGATGCAGATGAAAGTAATAAGAAACGTGGTAGTGTCCTTGACAGTATAAAAGACAGCTAATAAGACTGAAGCCGTACGTTCGTACGTCTATTTCGTCGGAATGGGGTCAATTTTCATCTTGAATCACTATGAGACATTGCTTTTAAGGAGTTACAAATGTCAAAAAGAACTTTATAAGTATGCGAAACGGTATGATATAATAAAGAGAGAAACATGAGACCAAATAAAATCAAATTATCTTCCTGATATACTCCTATGCTAAGTGTAAAATTTACTTAAAATTTTACATATTTTTTGACAAAAATTAACCACAAATTCTTGATTATTGGTCAATAGTTACGTTCAATAGTAGCGATTTTAAGTACGCTTGTGTATGTATCGTGAACGGCAATGACCGATAGCGGGTCAAATAATAAAACTAATATGAATATCGTACATTTTACATACTCATAATACATTAATAATATCGTGGTTAAATAAGCATATAAAGCATATTGACCGTATCAATATTTACAATTTATAATGATCCTTAAAGGATGTTTGTTTATTATTAATGTACAAATAATTTACACTGATAAGCAGAAATTACTTTATTTACACAATGATAGAGAATATATATATTATATGAATAGAATATATATCCTTATGTATTTAAATGCTCTTCGATTATTATACTGAACATATTATATACTCTTAATATAAAACAATGGTGCACAGTACATTTACTAAGAGCACAACAATATGACTAAACGGAATTAATTGTTTCTACATCGTAAATAAACTCATATTTTGTCATTTAACATTTTCATAACAAATATTAAATAACTAACTACCAAAAGAAAAGGTTCTTATAAACTTAATTTAGACAGGGGCATATCATGTAATATATTTTACTATGTTATTTTTGATATAAATTTCATAACAATAAAAACATTTAAATAGAATATTTGTAAACAATATTTAAACACATGCATTAGTTGAAGATTGGACTACACGTTGTGTTTACGATTGCGTAACTGTTCATGGAAAATTTTGAGTCTTCAATCGTTCGGATGTCGATAAATTGTTAATCTTTGTGTGTTCTACAAAATAAAGTTTAGACGTTAATAAAATGTTTAAAGACGAATAGTGAAATATTTGGCAGCTTTCAATTGTTTTATTTTTTGTGTTAAATGAAAGCTTTTTAATTTATGAGGCCGAGAATATCGCGTTTTGGTGACTGCCAGCCATAGCCCCGAGTGCGTTGCTCCAAGCTGATAACTCTATTAATATCTATCTCGTCTCTTGAACCGCGTGCTGCGAGCCAATGGCGACCGACTGCGATTTACGGTGTTCATAATTATTTTTTATATCGGACATTTTTAAAACTATTTTTTAAATGAAAATAAAAGTGGAAACAGCTAACGGCTTTTTTTCTTATTTGTTTGATAATATAGTGCCGTAAAACAGGGGATATAGTGCTTCCCATGAGTTTACTGTGACTACAATCAACCATAACGCTGTCATACGAAAAGAAGAATATCTATGAAGCTTTAAAGAGGCAAAACAAACATTTGTGATTATCATGGAGGCTCCGAATAACATGCCATATTTTTATTAAAAATCAAGAATAAAAATTACTTATTTAAAGTATAAAATGTTTACTAACAAATTCGAATTTTAACATTGCTTAAACGTCTTTTGACTACTAATTTTATGTTGATACCTACCACTTAGTTTATAAGATAAGATTAAATAAACAGATAAATTATATATTTTTGTACATATAATAAATTAAATTGCCTATCCAATGCGATAATTATACTTCGTTGTGCTGTCGTTAATATGAGTTAATGATAACAGTAGTAGAAATGCAAATAAGTTTATATTTTTTCGAGATAACGGCTTTTGAACGTAGTGTTGTTGAGACGCTGCGGCGGACACGACGTGTTGTGCTCGTGTTCAGTGCTTGTTTATACTTCAACACACGATGCTACTATAAATATAACACATACGTTACTCAGCTGTGTGATTTCAACTAATACGTGTTGTTGATTTAAAACATTTTTTTTTGTAAGTTTTTTTTATTATTTTTTTTAATTTCGTTTGATTTCGACAATTAAATATGAAATACCTGTGCATGTTTGTATTTATATTCTCGAGGTGTATGTTAAACTTGTCAATTGGTATATTAAAATTCATGGTCAACGTTTAAGGTCAGATTGGATAATAGAAATCGTCGCTGGGTTACTATCGCGTAGTTAAACATTAGCGGTTCTTATTCTGTTGCTAAGTGGTTAAAATTGTCAATGTTGTCGCTTGTGGGGACAATATGTAATAACCTAATTTTTTACTCACAATTAAATTATTTCTTTTGGAGACGGTATTTATCAATTTCGCTATTAAAAAGTATACCATAATACTACGAGTAACCTTTTTTTATGATTAGGATCGAGGCCAAAGTGGCATTGGGAATACAAAATAAGAAAGAGTACGAAATAAATAAATTAGGTAGTAGGTTAACTATTAGTTTAGTTTAGAAAAGTTACAAACACATCTAAATATAGCTCAATCTTTGATATTATGACGTGAATTTCATAGATTTTAAATTATTAATTGAAATTATTTGTGACCATTGTTTTTTAATGTCTATAATTTACGTGATGTAAAAAAAATGTGGGAAAAGCTTCATTTGTAAACTTGTCCCAAGCTTCCCTCGAGTTGACAAAACAAAATCTTTGTTTATTAATATTAAAGCCGGGTCCCTCAGAGAGCCAGTAAAAATCCTAATATTAAATCAGCTTTATAAAAATATTTGGCCCATTAATGTTTAATTTATTTATACCTAATACCTAAATAAATAAATGAAAGCGTTTTGTTTTTTTGCCGCAAAAGATTCGGAATATAAATTGAGAGAGCTCGCTTCGGATTGTTATTAACCATTAACCTGTTTATCGCGTCGCTGTTGTTTCTGGCTCCACGCAAACATTTACAACGTTATTGAAGTTGTTGGTATATTAAACTGCTTCACACGTCGTCGTTACACCGCCTCTAATTCCCTACAATAAACGTAACACCTGTTCACTCGCTACACACTTCCTTTTTTATATCCTACACCTTCTTAGTATAACTTCACGCGTGTAAACCAACTTTATATTTAGTTTAAGCTGACAGTTGTCAGATGATCCGATCACGCATGATTAAAAACTTAACCAAATCAACGAATCTATTGACGCATGTAGCAGTTTTTAACATTTTTTATCAATAATACAAAACTTAGACAAAATTGAATAAACATTTTTCATCTAAAAGAACAAGCGTGTAAATAAATAATGTAATCATATACAAAGCTAAGGTCTGTAGGGACCTCAATACTGTTCAAATTTCTCAAATTGTTCGAAACCAGTTTACCGTAGCAAGCTTCCAAGCACGTACGATCGAATTTGGAATGCATCAGAAGTCATCTTGAACACAGTCGCAGCGGAGCACTGATAGGGGGCGCCACCGACCGTGTCGCTCTCAACTGGGACCCGCTTCGACCACAGGCTGACTCATCGAATTACCTGTATTGCCATAAACAGCACCGGTTCATATGTCGGAAATACATTCTGCTGTTTATTTTGGCCTCATTTACTGTACGTTTCGACTGTCGCACCACATGTTTAATACGTGTGGTTCGACCTATCTCCATCTTTTGTATTATCTTTGACAAAACAGGGACAGTAATGTGTTCAAATAATACACTGCAATCGAATTTCACCGTAACGGTATACAACGAACGGTACTGGATTTAAAATAGGATTAAGCTTACTCCGATCATTTTTTAAAAATTAATCGTTACATTTAAGTTAAACTATGTTTTCTATTTTAGGCTATGATAAAAAACAAAATTGAATTTGTTATGATTTAACAGCTAGGGTCAGGTACTATGGCATTCGAATCGAAATTTAGAGTGTTTAATACATTTTAAAATTCACATGTACTGGTATATTCCGCGCGTTTCTAACTACGCGTATTTTTTACAGTAAAGATAAGTTCGGGTTAGCGATAAGACTAAAACAGATTTGTTTAACGTCTTCTCTTAACCGGTCCCTTAAACTAAAGGGTTGAAGGTTTTATGTTTATAGTGGGCGCAGAGGCAGTAAAAATGTATTTCCCAATTCAGGGATTCTCTTAATATTAGTCTCGAGGTACGAAACAATTGTACTTGAGTTCCGTACTTTGGTACGTTAGTTTATCTGATGTAAAAGGGTTTATTCTGTTTTTTTTCTTTCAAACTGAAGCAATTTGGTAAATTTATTATTATCAAGCTTTGAGGTACCACTTTTTAAGTTAGAAATGTGAAATTATTACCTTGTCCATACTCCTTGCGGGGTACGAATTGGTTATTATGAATGTATTGAACGAACGATAGTTTCTCCGTGAAGGTAAATATTTGTGGAAGTATGTTGCTCAGTGGACATATTCAAATCGGTAAGATATGTCAACGTGGCATCGAAGACCGTCTATAGCTTATCCGTTACTTATAACACGGTATTAGACAATATTTGTAGAGCACGCCGGCACTCTAATATTTTCATTCTAAAATCTTCTGTTTGCATCCATCTTAATGAAAGTAGGATAATTTTATCATTTTCTATTTTGATAGACAATAACTTACTTTTTATAGTTAAAAAAATCTTGATTATACATTTTGAAGATAACAACGATAAAGTTTTGAGATAGAAATCTTCTTAGATTAGACCTAAAGAAAAACATATCTTCTTAAGAAATAAATTGCTTCGTAAAATGTTCCGTTTTTTTTTATTATTAGCAACACATGTTACAATTGTTGACAAAAATCACAGAGTACTTTCAGATAGCAGAGATTATAAAGCCTTCCATAATTTTTATATATGTCAGAGTTCAAGCGTCCATCATAATTTATTTGAACAGTCATCGAGCTCAGGTGGGAACGGAGGCTCTTAAAATATTGTAGGCGCCTAAAACGATATTTCTTCACCAACGAAAGGGACTCACGCGTTTTTAAAGAAAGACTAACTTTTTTCGCGCAATGATTTATGTTTAATTATTATGCCTTACTTTTTTTGTCATTTCCATAAGATTTTTTTTAAATGTTTGAGTATTACGCATTTTATCTTCGTCGTTTATCCTTGAGAAAAATGTACATAGCAACAAAACAACATAATATAGTGAATACTCATGTAGTCCAACGATAAGATAAAAATGTATTATTTTCGGCTAGACATGATAAAAGGGCAACATTATCACGTCCATTAAATAATCAATTTAACTTCATGGATACACGGAAAACATCCTAAATAACTTGTGCGGTCCTCTTATTTGAATAGCGGATTATTCATACTCTTTCCTTCGTCGCATTATTCAGTACTTGTCTGGAAAATATTTATCTGTTTTATCTTTAAAATCTAACTAATATTATATTAGATGGTTGGATGTATGTTTGTTGAGTTTGTAGTCCAAAAATGCTGAACAGATCATGATGAAATTTGTCATAGATGTACACATAGTCTGGCAGAACACATAGGCTACTTACTTTTGTTTTTTTTTTTTATTCCACGCGCACGGAGTTGCGGGAAACAGCTAGTATTAATCATATCGTAGTTAATTAAGATTAAGAGCACCGAAAGTACAACGTAGTATGAACTTTGAGCTGTTAAACATTGTTATTGCTCGGTAGATAAAATTCTGAATGCATTTATGATAGTGAGGTCGGATCAAAATGTGCTGACCCTCGTATGTTTAAACCTAGATTGATATTCTGAATGCAACCCAGAAATGATGCCATCCACAATGTATTAATTAAGAAGTTTAGATTCTAATTAAAAATATAACAATGAACGAAACATAGTCTAACAGAATATTATGACGAGATTAGCTTCATACTTATCTTAGAACTAGAAGACGTAAGTAAGGATAAGTGGTAAAGAACTTTTCTTTTGGTAAAGAATCTAAAATTGGTCGGAAAATCTTTTTTACCGGTTCCCCAGTTATAAGTAAATTTGAATAATATTTAGATTGAAACACTACTAAATTAAACATGGATTAAAAAATCTCTACATTATAAAAATATCGAAAATTAAAGTATTTATTTTATTGTTTGGTAAATTGAAAATGTTTCGTGCGAAAATAAACGTGGCCGTGCCAATGTATCGCCAACTGGACCATTCCATTTCCGAAACCCAATGATCGCATTACACTGTGAAAGGAAATCTACATTACAATATTTCATTTAATTAAAGTTGCTTTTGCTACGTATTTTGAATCGTTAAGTGTTTTGGACATCATTCATGCACGTTTCTACTTTATAAAACAGAAAGATTTGTTTTAAAATAATCTCAGAAAGCCTTACAAATAAATGCGGTATGAAGTTAAACTTAGAAATAAATTTAGTATAAGTAAAGTTTGTACTAATATTTAACTTAATACAGCGTTTATTTGTATGGCTGAGAAAGTATCTACTTAGTTAGTACTTTCTATAACTACTGGTACGCAAAATTCATTTTTATTTATCTTCGTGCTTTTAATTAGTATAACGATGTCAAATTAAATGATATTTAATTTATTAAGCTGATTTTAAATAAGCAATAAAACTGTTTTTATTCATTAATAAACGTATTTCAAAGTATTAATTTAACATTGATGAACGCGAGAGTTGGTACAGGCGATGAACTGACTGGCCAATGGTCTGTTTAACAAAATTCGCACGTAAATCTGTTATTTACTGTAACGTTACCCTTTCGTTATCAGCAGGTCAGCGGACATAATAATGACAAGCTCAATATAAATATGTAATCAGTATTTATTGTGTATAAAACAAAATAAATAACGAAGCGATTAAAGTTCATCGGTAACTTGTATTTAACATAATTAGACTTTACATGTGCGTATAAAATAGTCTTATGATTTTTAATACGTAAAGACCAACCTCCTACTTTCTGCAGACTTATGAGTTTACGCTAGTATGAAAAAAACGACAAACAATCGGTCTAGTATGACATGACGGTTACTTTAAAAGTTATAGACCCGGCCAAATGTTTTAGGTTTGATTATTTTACAGTCCAAATTCGGATTTAACAATATGTAAACGGTACCGCGTAATCTAATCGAGTCCCACTCTCTGTACAAAACAAAGTTCGCTGACTTTTGTAATATAAACATGGCTGCATTAATTAACTCAGACTTCTTCACCATAGACAAGGGGAGGCCGGTATTAGATTAAATACGCAATCAAAGTGCTCTAACAGAAACGAATGGTTTATTTATATTTAAATCTTACTTCTTGCTAATATTATAAATGCGAAAGTTTAGATGGATGGATGTTTGTTAGAGTTTGTAGCCTAAACTACTGAACTAATCTCGATGAACATTTAGCACAGATGTACAGGATAGTCTGGAAGAACACATAGGCTGTATAATTTTTTTTTCTTTAATTCCACAAGGACGGAGTCGCGGGCGAAAGCTAGTTTATTTATAACGTTTATTAAACAGCTCCAATTCGGTTGTACGAAATTTAACTTTATATAAATCCTTCGATGTTTTTCGATAAGCGTAAAATCGAATGCATTGTTTTTGGCCGTTGCAACAAATTATTTAAAAAAGGTAAAAACTGTGACCGCATTATTTGACGCAGCTCACAAACAAGCCGGCCGGTAAAATGTACCAGGAAACAATGAGTGTAAAAGCTCAACTTTTAGTTTAATACGCAGAGTTTCAGCGACGCCGTGATTGAGTTAAAACAATGCGCCAGTAATTAAATTTCCAGCAACAATTAAATGTAAGTAACCGTACGCGGTAATTAATGAATGCGGTTCATTGGTCACATTAAATGTTCATCGTATCGTAACAACATGCGAATTATTTTAACAAAAAACCAGTATTAATGTAAACTTCAACTGTCATATCCATTTGGTCTCGTTGTAGCCTATAGCTGTACACGAAACGTCAATTTGCAGTCTCATGCTTTTTGTATACCTGCTGCCTTTATATCGGTGTATTTTTTCTTTGTGTACAAGACTATTTTGCACATACCTTTGATCCTATATCGACCCGTCTATCGAGCAAACCTGACTGATTGTTAATAGATTTACAAGTAAGTAACTTTCTATAAAGCGTTTCTGTTGTCTTCGGTGGCTTGTTACCTCAACTATTTTAAGGGAATTAAACGTTTGTTATGTTTTTGTACAGGCCTTTCAGTAACGAAAACTGTTCTACGTTTACGAACAGATAAATCATATAGCGGTGCTACGGTAGCGAAGCATTAAGTCAAAAGAATACTTAATGTAGTTGCCTCATTTCTATAGAGAGAAAATTCTTTTCAACGACTTACATAGAATCTTTTAAATATGTATTGTTAATAAGCAGGCAAAAAGCCCACAGCCGCTTGAAGAGCGATCAGTGACGTCACATTATTCCTTGCGCGAAAAGCTTTGCATATACATACTTTGCGTGCAATTTTTTATATATTATTTACATTTTTGTCTCATCTTTTCAGTTAATATTAAGTAAATACATGTATCAGTCCCATTTTTGTAAAAGTACAAAGTTTCTTTTATATTACACTTTATATTTATTGGTTTTCAAGAAAAAGTGACCTGTAAAACCGTAATGTTTTTGTTTCGATAAATAAAATTAAACTAATTCAGACCTGACCAGCAGAACAACGTCATACAAAAGTAAAATAATTTAATATATAAGTTAATAACGTTATTCATTCGTGGTAATAAGGATAATATAAATAGTTATAAACTGCAGGAGATATCTACAATGTTAACTGCGGTGGCAAAAGACAACATAACCTTTCAACGCAACTATTATTAATACTTAAAAGGTCAAAAAGTCCATATTAGCTTGTAACAGACTATCTTATCGTCTAAATTATATGGAATACATCGTACCTTCTTTGCTTATCATCCCAATATGCTGCATAGAATGATAAACAGCTGAGGTATCAGAAATTTTTCCGTTCATAAACAACGGGTCACATCAAAGAGTTGCCTCATATTTTTTTAAGTATTAATAGCATATATGAATTTCATAACGATAATAAGTGAATTACACCACCATCATTACCACATGTAGTATTTGGCAAAAGCTTTTAGTGTATGGGAGGTTGTAAAGGAACAGTTCAAAATACATGGCAACTTCGCTCGCCTATCAGTCTATGGACTATGTCAATGCTTTTAAAGTCTCTCATCTAACTTGGAAATAATTAGAAATTTCACTATTAATGTTGTTGTCACATTCTGATGAAATATTATCGTCGTCCAGCATTTAGACAGAGCTTGACAAAGGCCAAACACTAGTTCGACAGCAACGAACAGATTAAACTTTGATGCAATTTCCCCCAATCAACCTTATTGGCTTATTGTGTCTCTGTCAATCAGAATTCAATCGTTCATCGAATCGATCAATTCGACATCGGGTACACACGGCACTATTCGAAACTCGACTTTAAAGGTATTATTAGAATGATATAATCTCTGCGGATTAACTTATGAATACTAAAATCTTTGGAGCTTGTAGCCGTAACAAGTAAAACATATTCATCTTCTCATTTTCATTGGAAAAACACATACATATTATTACGTTTTTCTATGTGTATTTCGGCAGTTGAGACTTGACTTTTATATAAACTTAAACACAATAAAGAGAATCAATTATTCAATATTACATATTTATTGCGTAATACACATTCAATTGATAAAACAGAATCTACAGCAAGTAGCTCCGGACTCTTGTCACTTGCATACGTGTTACAGCTTTGTATATAGGTACAACTGATTACTAATAATTATAGTTTTTTTATCTTTTATTATAATTTTACAATGCAAATCAATTAATTCGTGACTTTTTGTACCTAAAACAGAATTTGGTAAGGTTAGAGGTTAAATTACAAAGCAGAGTGTTAACATTGAATATATCTTTAATTTTCAGAAAATACATAGCAATGAGACCGAGCACAGAGGAAGGCGTGGAGCCGCCGCAGATCGTGGTGCTGGATGGGGGATTCTCTACGCAGCTGTCGTGCCACGTTGGCCACGTCATCGACGGCGACCCGCTGTGGAGTGCGCGGTTCTTGCACACGCATCCCAATGAAGTCGTTAACACACATCTCGACTTCCTCAGAGGTACATATATCGACGTTGTATATTGTTGATAAGGGCTTATATTTTGTTCGCAACAGCAACGAAAGAACATCGCGTGGTTCTCGCGGAGAGCCGTTGCAGTTTTTAATGGCAAAAGTCATAGACATTCGGAATGTCAAACGCAAAAATCTCGGTACTCATAGTTATAAATTAGATGGAATGCAAAAATCTTAACATTTAGGACATACTCGTAATAAAGTTTTACTTGTTAAACGAGATACACAATCAAAATATTTCAATATGCCAAAATGTCTAAAATGAAATCCTAATTTGTACTCGTCGGGTGTAATTTAATATCAATGAAATACAAAGAGAGAGAAATTTTGAGCTTATGGTACAAAGTTGTTATCAAATTTGTCGGCGGCTCGTTCACACCCTCTTGTACAAATGTAACGAATAAAGTAAATACGATCTTATTAAAAGAACACAGAAATTTAAACAGATTTCTAAATGTTGTTCAATATAATTTACACTATAATAAAATGTTTCCATAAGGCCATTAATTTTGGTAATTAAACTTAGTACCTAAAGCATTGATTGCATTTGTAAGGATTTATTTTTAATAAAACTTGTGAATAAATCTTTCAAAGCAAAACTAATAATCAAAATTTTTGGCATGAATCTCTTGAAAATTAAGACAATATTGGGAGCAGCGGCGGATGTTACAATTTCCAGGCTAAACGTTTATTGAACATTTCTGTGCCGATGCAAACTTTGAAATAAGATCTCGTCTATATCCTGCCGCCAGCGAATACTAAATGAAAACTAAAGTTGAAATGAAATAATTTGCTTCGAGCCGTGCTGTTATTCAATTTAGTTACAAGGGTAGACTTAATACTAGATCGTAGCACGTGTCTGTAATGAATGAAGATAAACGAGCCGACTTTAATTATATACCTAACATGTGTGTAAAACATCTGATGCGAGCATCGAATCGCTTTGTCTTTCATTTCAAAGGCGCAATTCGAATGAGCACCGAGATACATGTACGCTGCGACCACATCTGAATACGTGGCGATGCGACTAAGGAGAGCGTTGCCTGCTCTATAGCGCGCTAGCTAGACTTGCGCGCGCGGGTATCCGCGTGCTTTGACGAATTACACGTTAGGTCGCTTTTGGCCTGTCATTCCGGAGCATCTGACGGCGTGAGTGCGACCTCGTCTCGTGTCATCGTCCTCTGAAAGAACTTTTCTTCGCCACAAAACGGACCGTTTCTTTTCATAAGGAAAACTGAAAAGTGTCTGCAAGCAAATAACTCCCTGGAGGGAAAAAGCCTACTGACTTGCTTTGCCGCCTTCTTCACGGGAAATGATATGAATAAACATAAAAAAATGGCTCGCATATTGTGAGAACATTTTCACTATACCAGCACGTTTCAAGATTTTTCTTTTATTTTAACACAGGCGGCGGGATGGCATACGTTGGCAGTCTTAATCAAATATGTAACTCATTTAAAATATACATAGAGCAACAGCGTGTGTGGAGTAAATAATAATAATAATTAAACTGAGCTTTAAGTAATGGTAGCACATTAATGCAGAGAGTTATCTCTGTGTACCGATTTCTACTCAAAACAAATAGCTAAACCGATTTTAACTTCCAAAACTATGCAATTGCTATTGTATCATTATTATGAATAGCCATTTAAAGTGTGTACCTACTCATACCTTATCTACATAAAGTAAATGACATTCGGCCTTACAGTAAGTGTCCCAAAGTGAGGGAGTCAATATCCCGCCCGTTTCAGTCTTAACCTCTAAAACAACCATTTCGTTCCAATGTTACCCATGGGTACATAGGTTTACTATCTTATGAATCTAACTTTTTAAAATGTTTTAATAAAATACACCTGTAGTTTTCTTGTTTATAGAAAAAAAATGTAAAACGATCTTATATCAGCTTCAAATTTCGACAAATAGGTTCCTATTTCTTAACTATGTAATTAATTTTTATTTGTACTTAGTACATATAAAAATGATTTACACAGCTGAAGTTATTTTAGAACTTCTATAATTAAGTAACAAAAATTTACCATCGATTCTCTCGTTTTTATTAACATGGAATAAAACTTAACACCCACTCGATCCACTCAAGCATTTTATAAGATCCATTCTGTTAGTCGAGTATTGTAAAGAAAATTATATACAAGAACTTTAATTTATATCGTATTTTATCAATAGTCCTGCTATTGCATTTGAGCGTTATGTGATATTTTAACTGAAAATAAGTAAAAAATAAACTTCATTAATTAGAATAGATACATTTGTAACCCCTGTAAAAACATGTATCCGTATATTGTTCATGTTATTTAATACAGTTCCTCGTTCATAAAGCGATTAATAAATAAATGTCAACGAAGGTTCGTTCTGTTGAGCAGTCGTATTGAAGTTTGGGAACTGTAGTGCATTAGCAAGTTTTAATAACATTAATTGTTTACGTCACTCCGCCCGCGCCGCATGCTGTTCCCGCTTAATAATAGTAGAAGGCAAGTTCAATATTTATGGAGTTAGTTCGACAGTAGAAATTTAAGTAGCTCAAGCAATACTAGTTTATAACAAAGGCACGAGGCCGAAATCTTTCAACTAATTTCCAACTCTTAGGTCTTTCGAACTTTATGTCATCTTTAAGGAAACAATTGTTAACCAGTTTTAAACATAAATATTGACATGACTCTATTCTATTTAAATTAATCAAAATGCTACAAGAAATATTGCAGCATTTTGAATTGTTAAAGTTCTAGGCTCTAGAAGATTAGACATAATAGTAAATGTTTTGAGTTATGATTGTTAATTGGAAATGTTTTTTTCTAGCGGGGGCTCATTTAATAATAACAAACACGTATCAAGCGTCAGTGGACGGGTTCGTGGAGCACCTGGGTGTCTCCCCGGAGCAGGGCTACGAGCTCATAGTGCGCGCGGTGGAGCTTGCCAAACGCGCGTTGAATCTTTATTTAGAAGAATATAGAGGCTGTATACAAGATGGTAAGCATGCTCATACATTTTTTGCATCACTATATTTTGTAAGTTTTTAATTTAAAATGTTAAAACTTATTAATAACATTTTTAATCTGCGTACGGAAAAGTTTGAGATAGAGCCGATTAATGTGACAATATTTACATCAAAGTCTTGAGAGAATTCACTAGATATCTTCGAACTTAAAAAATATGATATTCATTCCTAGTTGCTAGCAGTGCATTATCGAAAAATGATGAAGTAAGAATTTTTATTTATCTTATTACCTTATCGGCGATTGATGTTGATATCAGAAGCGGCCTATCGTTAGCGGAAATGAGTTCTTGTCTGTTATACATTTTATTTTTTATCTGTTCAGAAATATACACGACAGGAATCAAATTACTATAAGATATAAGTAATTTGCGAATATGTAAATGAAATTCATAACGTTTAACAAATGTATGTTTAATCAACCATGTTATAAATCATGCTAAATAAATTGAACCAATCAATGTCGGTGTAGCTAAAACATAAAATGATTTTTCAATAAACAGAATACTCATTAGTACGAGCAAATGAGAGAGTCAGTTTCGGTCATTAGCGACCGATATCCAGATATTATTTTGTATTAAAACAATATTTTAAATATTTTGTTATTTACATGTGTAAAATTCAAAGTATTTTAGTAAAACAAAGCTTTTTGGGTATTCGGGAAGGACGGGTGCAAGCACGCATTAATTACATTAAAGGTTTAAAGTATTTGTAGGAAAGGGTGCGAACAGGTTGTCGGGGTAATAAATGATTATGCGGTGTTAAGCGATGTTACTTGGTGTTTTCAGATCATGTGCCTCTTGTTGTGGGCTCAGTGGGCCCTTACGGTGCTCATCTTCACGACGGATCCGAATATGACGGCAGCTATGCTGACACCACAACCGTTCAAGTAAGATTTTGTTGTTTAATTTTATACTTCCTAATTCAAGTTTGTAGATCAAGATCATGTTTGCCATTGATCTTTGACTTTAAATAAATATATACATTTTTGTGTACTTTTTATTAGATCACTAATACTTAAATTTGGATCTCTACGGGTGGACATAGCCATGTTACGCAAGAGTAATGTAATATACTAATAATGAGAGAATTTTTGTAATCATTCGTTATACATAAACTAATCTTTAAATATTAGCAAAGTTTAAGTAGACTATTAGTTAATAGTTCCACTAATTATCTTAGTATTCTACGTCATATAGTTGTGCGAAATTAACCTCAAAGGATCGATTCAAATTAAACGATCGCTCAACTCGAAGGTGTAAATTCTGAATGACACTTTTTATTACTTTGCATTTCGCCGTTGAAATCGCACAGAGTTCCCTAGCAAATGCTAAAGACAATTTCGTAGATAAGATCTAATGTTTTAATAAAAAAACGGAGCCCATCATCATCTATGTTTATTTCTATTTAGATACTGTTTATAATTTTCACATTAAATAATATATTATTAAGTTGGTATTAAAAATGGAATTATCGTTTAATTGCTTTAATTTTAATGTCGAATTCAATTATTAACAAAACAATTGTAACTTTAAACTACAAATAAAAGCTGATTTGTGTAACTTACTGAATTTAAAGTAGTCGCGTATTTCATTTATCTGTTTCAGAAAGCATCATGGGCTAAAAGTTTGTCGTAGAAACGATAGCAGAGTATTGTTGTTAACCGTATCTGTAGTTATTCCGTTATCTTGTTTGTAAACGTCTTTAAAGTACGAAGGAACGTCTGGGCGAAATGCCAATGTTTTATCTCCGTAGTAACTTCTCGCTTATAACATCGTATCGGCGACTATAAACGGCAACTGGAATTATTATTACTAGCCGCAACATTTTCAAAGGGCACGCGTGGCACGTGAGATTATTTATACTGAACCCCGATATCCAGGAATACGAACATAGACAATATAGTAAAGGTTAAAAGCGCAAGCTAAATCGTAAAGAGGGTCGTAAAGCTGCTCGCAAATTAAAATTTACATCGGGCGATATGAAAATAAAAAACGCGCCGGCATTTTCTATTTGCTTTTTGTTTTTGTCTGTGCGAACTCGTCTGGAGTCGACAGTTAATTAATGGCACCTAGAACAAATGAAAATCAGAAACACGAAACGATAATAACACAACTGTGTTCGAAATACTCTGCGAAAAATTTAAAATTCGATTACGGTATAATAAATAAATTGTTGTTGCCTTTAAAGTAATTAAAATGCGAGCTGCAAGAGCTCCAGACGTGAAATTTTTAATAACGAATAATTCATGATCCATCGGATATTTAAAACATTGCACTCCGCGTGCTGCGTCGCCTTTTTGCGACGAATAATAACAAATGATGCATCATTGATGTAGTGCTTTTACACTACCATAACTTACTCACACCGTCGCGAGATTAAAAATTTACTTTTTAATGACATCATACTTTAATATTATAAATGTGAAAGATTAGACGGATGGATAGATGTTTGTTAGAGTTTGTAACCTAAATGGCTGAACGGATTTCGATTAAATTTGGTATACATGTAGAGGATATTCTGGAATAACACATAGGCTTTGGTCACTTTGGTTTTTTTAATTCCACGCGGACGGAGTCGCGGGCGAAAGTTAGGCTACTTATAAATGATAACATCATGCTAAAAATAGTTACAATAAAAATACCATAGCCAATATATAAAAACACATTCTTGCACTGCGCTTGCAATCAAAGCTGCTATCCTTTCCAAGTTCCATCTTATACAAATACATTATTAAGTTCAATCATCAAAGTATAAATAATATTAGGAAATAATAATAGGAAATAATATTTATATTAAATTCAAGTCGATATGCTGAATGAGAATGTCTTCCTTCCTTGAAACACAAGCTACTCATTGTTCTAAGACTGTTAACATGTATTTCGTTTCAACAGACAATGCGGGAATGGCATCGGCCTAGAATTCAAGCTCTAGTAGAAGCGGGTGTGGACCTGCTCGCCTTAGAAACAATACCCTGCCAAGAGGAGGCCGAAATGTTATGCGACCTGTTGAGAGAGTTCCCCAATGTTAAAGCTTGGCTCGCATTCAGTTGTAAAGTAAGTACAATGCAATCTTATTAATATTTTATATGCGAAAGTTTAGAGGTTTGTGACCGCGTAATTACAAAATGGTTGAACGAATCTGGATGTTAATTGGTATGTGATAGATTAGCTTGGAATATAATGCAGATGTTATTTATTTTTTTAATTCCACGCGTAAGTACTCATTTAATATAGTCAGCACAATAACTTAATAAATAACACTAATTGAGAAAATAATGGTCGTACTTTTATTCTTCTTTACGTGAAATTTATGTGTGATAAAATCATTACTTTGTTGTGATATTTATTGTTCAATGATTACAGTAAATTAGGCAATACAGCAATGTAAGTCGTGTGCAGAATATGTAATAGTATCGAGAACTTACTGTTGTAAGACGAGACATCGTTATTGAGAGCAGAACAATTTTGGTAACAGACTTGCTGAGTTCTAAGATGTAGTTCTAGAGAGCGGAAATTCATACTTCCTTTTGTGTTCGCTTATTACATACTTACTCGACGTTAAAACATACATTGTTTCCAACGCCTTTTTAGTAGGTATGTTACATTACTTTAGTATCTATGTACTAAGTACATAATTATATATGTAATTAGACGATTATGTGTTAATGAAGACATTTTCTTTGCCTTTTATATAAAATCTATATTTATTTTTATTAATTAAACTATTTTGGTTACAAGTTTTTTCATCATTTTTCCTTCAGTTATCGGTAAACATTAATTAATGCTTGCAGGATAACCAAAGTATAGCACATGGCGAGAGCTTCCAGAAAGTGGCAAAAAAATGCTGGGAAGCGAATCCGGATCAATTAGTTGCGGTGGGGGTGAACTGCTGCGCCCCCTCCTACGTGTCCACGCTGCTGAAGGGAATCAACGACGACCGGCCGCACGACCCCATTCCATTGATCGTTTATCCCAACTCGGGCGAGAAATACAATCCGCAAATAGGGTAAGTTTCAATTACTCACCTGACATGTTTATGTATGCGCATATCCAATCCCTATTCCATTACAAACAATATCAAAGGAATAATAACTCTAATAGACTAATGGGCTTGGATTTCGGCTCTGAATGCTTTATAATTCATACACCTCTGTAAAATAGAGCCAATTGAGAAAAATGCCTAAGTAAATTTGTAAGCAATTGTAATGAATGTAGTGTGTAATGTTGCCAACTAGATTGTGAGTTGGCGAAGTTCACTATCGTCCGGTGGCTTATACAAAAAATAAGCATTACATTTTATTATAATCCCAACTTAAAATAGAAGTTCTATGCGGAGTGTAAACATTTATTATATTTCACATGTGGGCTCATTATAACCAGTCCGACTTAGTATAAATTTTATCCATTTGAAACATGATAAATGTATTTTAGAGGCGTCTAACATGTGCCGTGAGCTCGTTACACCATTGCATGAAAACGAGTATTTTTAACATATCCCTTTTCATATTTCAATTAATAATTATGGTATGCTCATATTATAGACTTCTTAGTAAAATACAGACTTGATAATGATCTCTTTCTTTTGGAAAGTCGGTTAAAAAGAAAATGAAACACAACGCGTAGAGGGGCGTCTTCTTAGCAATAACAGGGAATGTCTTGTGAATTTTGCGACAAAGCGTTTGATCGACGACGCAATAAAGCTACATGTTGTTCCACTTACGAAGTGTGTTGGAAGTGCACATTATTTTATACTTTCCTTTATTCATCCTGTATCAAACCTTATCATTTTCAATTATAGTCTGTTGTTTAGCGTGGCGATGCAAACGACTATGAATTACGAAATGACCCATCTTCCAATAAAATGCCTTTTTATACATCTATGTTAATATTTTATCACCCGTTAATTACCGGGTTCGAAGGCGAATCCACTCGACTATTTTCTCTTACGCTGCTTCTAAAACGTATTAATCAACACTTCAAATCAAAGCCGCTGCGTTTACTGTTTTTAAATATACATGAAACCTGTTAAGTTATTGTATTTTTTCAGATGGATTGACCGCGACAAGTGCGAAGCTGTGGAGGTGTTCATCCAGGAGTGGTTGGACCTTGGCGTGCGGTACGTGGGCGGCTGCTGCAGAACCTACGCCACTGATGTTTCACGCATCCGTAACCAGGTGCACTGCTGGCGCGACCGCAGGCGCTTCCAGGCGAAGTACCAAGCTAATCTCAATAGTAATAATGTACACTAACTGGTGCCTATACGTTTATGTTGTTTGTAATGTTTACATGTAAATTTCATATATTCGTCTGGTTATAACAAGAAAAAAATTGTTTTGTTGATAATTAAAATGATTATTTCATTTATGTGTTTTTTCTGTTTTACGTTTTACGAAAACCACTTTCAACTTGAGATACATTTTGCATGTAGACTGACAGTTAGTACCTACTAAAATACCATAGATAATTGTTTGTAATGGTTTATGTAATCTCGTTTAAAAATTACTTAAAACATTATACATTGGATTGGATTTTTTAATCCCCATTTTCACATAAATGTTCGAGAATTGCACAGCAATAAGTAAATAAACATTTGTATAGTAACAAGCATGTAGGCTTCGTGTAAAGTAAATTGTATTGATAAATTAAATTAAATTAAAGGCCCTCACGTCTCTGGCTAACTTACTGTCAATAACATTACGGTACGAGAAAATATTTGAAGAAAACTTTATACGATGTGTACAAAAGGAACGATAAGGGAAGTGGTCGTACGACTACAAACTTGGTTTGTTGACACGAGACGAAGGTCGACATTCGGAAGCTGGTAAAACGTTCCTTTTCCTCAAACTTTCTTTGCGAGATAAGTGCCTGCTAATAACGTAAACGCTCAACGTTTCCGGGAATAAATGGAAATATAAAAAATTAATAAAAACCATTCTAATAAAAAACGCCGAGCATCAATTTGCACATTGTGATTAATTCGACGAAATTAAAAGTGTGAAATATGAATATATTTCTTGTAATTTAAATTCATAAAACGTTGTAACGCAAATAAATTAGTGAATCTTATATTTTTCCTTGTCCCATAGCGTATTAAAAAACTAGACTAAACCATTAGACCAAAATATAAAGTAAAGAATGATGTTGCACATGCCTAATTACTTAACTTTCCGACATGCAGAAATTAAAAACGCAAATGTATGAACTAAGATAGAAAGTCAGCAAAAGTGTTATGTAGTATTTAAATTTAATTTCACTTTCTTTACAAATAAATTTTTTAACGACATAAAATAACATAACATAACAACATCTGACTTTGTTCAAATAAATGTGTTATTTAATTAAATAAATACGTTATATTAATGTTTAATTTCTATCGAGTAAACTTTATAACAATATATCACAACTTATTTAAAAAAGTGAGCGGAGCACGCAACAATACCAATTTATAAACAAACTTCATCAACGGTCAATGCTTTTCTGAATTATGAACGAACTTTTTAATGGAATTAACAACATGGAAGGTTTGTTAAATGCATTATAAAATTCTCATTAGAATGTTAAATAAAATTTTATACGTAATTTAGATGTCTGCCAACAAACTGTACATGCAAATCTAGTTGATAATGTTTTAAAAAGTAAAATATATTCGCATAGGACGTTGGGATAACATTGCTGTCTCCCAGGAGAATGCTGCGGGGTTGAAAAGTGTATGCATATTTTTATGTAGCAAATGCGGCTGCCCTTTACTAAGGCTACGTTGATTGCGGACCAGTCGAATGAATGCACATCCACTGAACCGAACTAGCCAATACTAGCCGCTATACTTTTAATGCAACAGTATAAAACCAATTTGAGACCCAACGGGTGTTTAAAATTGGATAAAGAAGTTGGCCCTCGCATTTTCATGGTTAAATATTATATGCCATCATACTGATATTGTAAATGCGACAGTTTCAATGGATAGAAGTTTCTTAGAGTTTGTAGCGTAAACGGATTACGATGAAATTTGGTATAGATGTAGACGATATTCTGGAAGAACACACAGGCTGCTCTCTTTTTTTTTAATTCCACGCGGACGGAGTCGCGGGCGATAGCTTAATAGATAAGATTTTATTTTAAAATGTTACGCCGTGACCGTGAATTGTATTCTTGAAATCATACCGAGTCTACAAACCAAGAAAAACTCTGACAAGTTTTGTTTTCCGAAAGGTTCATTGTTTGAAAATGAATAAAACCTTTTGTTCCACAAACATTGCTCGGATGAAAAATTCGAGTTGCACTGGTAAAGTTTTAAGTAGCTCAATAAACTTACAAAGATTTTTCTACTAAATTTAACTTTGAACAGTATACAAATAATAATTACTTTTGCAGTGCTCTTATTCTATGGTATTTTCAATTGAATTAGTAAATTTTTTTTAGTGTATATTGCAAAGCAAGTAGTTAAGTATAGTTAAGTAAGTACTAAATGAACCACTAAATTTCCAAAAGCCGCTCAGCTCGTTCTTCTATATTATTATAAAAAATAGATTCTGGCATAGATAAAGTTTGAGACCTACCGAACATTAATCATTATACAATATGTTTGTGGAAGTAGGTCACGTAGTAGGAATTCATGATACTCATGAATATGCGTTATATGAGGTAACATATCATAATTTAATCCTGCGAGTCTTGTGCACAAACTACGAAGAACATTAACATGCAATTCAGTTTTATAACTAATCTTTATTAATTAGCAATTAACTACCTTAAAATTGACACATCTTAAATCCTAGACAATTATAAAATGTAGAAATATTTATATTACGATTCGTTAGTAATTAGTTAAATAAATAAAAGAAACCTATTAGTTCAAAAAAACATTTTAAATGTCTAATTAAGTAGTAAAGTAGTTAGAATCACTAAGTTGCTGGAAATAAAAGGCTTTTTTATTTTTATTTTATTTTATAAGTAATTAAATAAAGAAACAAAATTATGTCATGAAGTAACGACAATAGCAGTTTGCCTACGGTGATTTTTGAGCACTCAAGAGCCATTTAATCCGCGTCACCTGCACTGAAAAAATGTCTCTTACAGTATTGTCGTGTCACAGCGCAATTTACGGAAATAGGTGTCTCTTCCATCTCGATGTTGGAATTTGAAAATGCTTTCTAGTTGAATTTTTAGACTTGTTCCTATCGAACTATAAACTGCTTATAACGTTCTGTTTTTAGGATAACTGATAAATATTATTTATCTCAATGTGTATTACTTCGATTTTGCTAAATTCTACTGTTGTAGATTAAGTAGACAAAGAAAACACGCGGCCCATAATTTATCATGCCATAGTGACAGTTTCCGGTGCTCATCAGATTACCTTTCATTGACCAAAATGACCGATATTTTGTAATACATATCCACTATTCATATATTTTTATAACGTCATATTGATGAACACTTTCAACGCATTACGATTGTTTCAAAATAAAGAAGGGGAAATTGTGGCAATGGAAGAACATTATATCTTATTAATATTATAAATGCGAAAGTTTAGATGGATGGATGGATGAATGGATGTTTGTTAAGGGTGTAGCCTAAACGGCTAAACGGATTTCGATGAAGTTTGGCATTGATGTAGGATAGTCTGGAAGAACATATAGGCTACTCATTATTGTTTTTTTTTAAATTCCGCGCGGACGGAGTCGCGGGCGAAAGCTGGTTGGTTTATAAAACGTTGACCACGAGTTATGTGCTGCAAAAGCTATTTTAATATGAAAAGTATAAGAGCAGCTATTTTGGGTTTACTTAACATGGCCGAGCAATTCGAGGGTAGGCCACAAAGCAGCTGCACTCAACCGTGTGCCTGGCCAAGCTTTGTTGAAGCCCGGTATTCATATTAAAATATGTAATAAAGCAATATTATTTTGTCATTGACGTCAATTCCTATCCGGATATTTATAACTAGCTTCGTCCCCTTGTAGCCTATTAGTAGAAGAGAATTCTTTACGTTAACTAATTAGTATACGGCAAACAATTTTAAGATACATAAAGACAAAGAATGTTTTCTTCGTCAGTAACTTTATTATTCTGTCTAAACAGTAGCGCTCAATAACTGGACTGGCATTCAACTGGCATAATACAAATATGCCAGTGAGTCCATACAATTCATGCCTGGCATGCGCTATTGTCCAACTGGCGAAGAATGAACCAGGTTTTGGCAGCCATTCCTTCAATGTCAGTTCATCCAAGGAATTATAAAAAAAAAACAATACGAATAATTTGTGATGTATTAACGTAATAAGGTACAAAGTAACAACTTAACATTTGCTTTCTTTTGCGTCTTTAAATAAATTCTTCGTGTGTATAGTGGCGATAGCGAGGTTCCTGTCTTGTTTTTCTTCGTTTAGTTGTATTTGTAAATGTTTCACGTCTAATTTTAGCGTCTTCACTTCGTTCTGCAGCCGCATTACTATAGCCCAGAGACTCGGAGAGCCGTGGTGATTGCTTGAATGTATCGGAAGCGATGGGGATCTCACCAATGCATCTATGCACAATGACGATTCGTCGTCGCATTCTGGAAATTATTGACCGAATACATTTAATTGCTATACTTTGTAAATATAACTGTTTTTTGTATTCTTGCTATTTTACCCACCTTGATCACACGTAAGGCGGTAATATTTTAATATTATTCAAAATCTAAGATATATTGGTGAGTATGTGCGTATTTACAGTACAATAAACTTTAGTATTAGTTGAACATTTTATTTCTTAATAATTATAAATATTGAATATGACACCTATAAAATAATTCGTTAAAAGTAAACAAACTAACAAACACTATATTTCAGTAAATAATACATTTTCATAATTGTTGTATCCACTTATTTATGGTTGAATTAATTTGGTTTTGGTTTGATATAACGTTCACTAGAATGATCGATTACAAAAGTTAGTTGACTAGATATCTTACGTGTTATTTTAAATTAGTATACCAATATAAAAGATAATTAATTCTCTAAAGGAACAGAAAACTATAGTTGCTTATCTCGAAAAATATAAAAATTTTAAGTACAACCGCATCAACATTAAGTGGATTCTATAAGAGCGTAAGAAAAACATGTTTTTCTAAAAGTTATTTTCCATAGAAAGGATAAGATCACTTGTATAGTGGCGAAGAAAATTACAATCATAGTTTGATGTAAACGAAACACATAACGTTTTGTAAAACCTTCAAGAAAATGTATCTACAATTCGAAATTTTATACATAACAATATTCACCTTCGACCAAATAAATACATACATTTAACATGATTTCCATTTCATAAACAAATTACTCTAAACACGATATCCAAGCATCGTAATCCCAACATTCAAACAAATTCCACTGCCGTAGTTACACACTGAAATAATCTTTGGTAAATTAAACGAAACGAACACAAAACACACCCAAAGTATACTAAAAGCTGACAAATTTAAAGCATATAAAATGATATCACGAGAAACAAAACTTACAATAATACTGAACAGATTACACTCTCCGAATACGACTATGAGTTTCGATGAAAGACATTGGCCTTGTAAAGGACTCAATAATTCTATTGCCAATTCAAGCAAATATTCAGTCCAGTGGATCCAACCGACGCTGTTCTGTATCATCATACTAAATTTGTGGCAATAAGTAAAATATTTAAGGTGATCTTCAAAAATGTTTGCCCTTTGCGAAAAGCAAGACAAATACAACTTCTTATGTCTATAAAATAAAATACTGTGACTAACAAACTAAAAGATTAATTAAAACATATTAAGAAGACTATACTAAGTAATTATTTTAGTATCTGCAAACTTAATGTGATTTGGTAAACGTAATTATGATTGTTGCATTAAAAATATAAATTTATATGGCGACTGCACGCTTATAGATTGCACACCAGGCTCTCGTTTTTAATATAAGTATTCAGAATTTAAAAACAAAATATACACCTTCATACAAATCGTTATATTTGATAAATTGTGTTAACGAGACATGTCAATCAGAAATGTATTTAGTTACACGCATGTTGGTAGCGCAAAACAATTTGCATGGGCAAATTAATTTTGCTTCCAAGAATAAATTTTGCCCATGCAAATTTTCGTAATCCAATTTGCACTTGCATTGGACAAATGACGTGGACATCATAGGAGATGTGAAATATGAAAAATAATTTAAAACTCTAATAATACTAGAGAACAATCATGGCTGAACGCTAACGTTGTTTAAGGAAATTTCTGGAAACATTGTAAGAAAAAACTATCGAGAAAGCTAGTTAAGGTTAATAGGCGGTTGTCAACAAAATGGTTACATACGTCGGGAGCAATTTCATTGATATATTGATTAATTACAGTCACGCAAGTCCCCGGGCACATTTATTGGTTAGCTTGTACCGGTAGTGTGAAGTTATAACCGCCATAAATCTACACTATTTCATGGTCCTTCAATTTATCCTAATGTTATAATATTGATCAAAGTCTATACCAGATGTAGAATCAATCTAAAAGGATATAAGATACTATTTCAATAAAAAAATAGTGCTTATATGTGTTTTTTTATTGCTGAAATCCTAAATGTTCAGATTTTAAATGTAAGATTCTAGTCTACTTTACTATGTTAAATAAAATAAATCCAAATGTAAAGAACTTCTGGTCATATTTCTTTGAAATTTACCAAATTTCATCTTAACAATGTCCTTTATATTCAACGTTGCGATGTTTTAACATTATCTACTTTGTACATTTTTTTTATTAATTAATTTTAAAAGCATCAAAAATATCGTAAAAACCACTCCAATGTTGCCAATTTACAAACACAATAAAATTTAACAATATTCGATAACTGGAATAAATATATGTACCTATATTTATACTTTGGCATCCACTAGGTATTACATTTTACATCAAGTCCAATTAAGTGTACAAAAATTTGTTTTAGGTATTAAATAAAACTATAAATATCTAAATCTTATATTTCTATTAATATATAACAATATATAAAAATAGACATATTTAATAAAACCATGCATATATATGTATACGTATATACTTAACAATATTAATGCACCATTATTTAATAATTTGATTAATAAGCAAAATCTTAAAACTAAATCCATTATTTTAATAATACTGCACACGTGCGTGTATAAATAAAAGTATAAATTAATCTATGTTAACATAGATAACTATATAGCTATATGAGAAAGAACTATCTATTTTCTAACAAAAAGCCATAAAATATAGTGTATCCATGCATGTAGCGGGCATACACTACGTATGTTCATACGCTACTTTGTTAAAAGAAGCAAATTCAACGCAGACTAATACATCACTACTTCTAACACAGTCGTAAATAATATCTATAGAAAAACAAACAAGATTAGTCAATAGACGAGGCGTTTCCATCTAAAAATGAAACACAAATGATGATCAAATGCGCACACCTGGCTAAAATAATGGCATCATTACTCGATCCAAAATAAAGCGAACGGAGCAGATGGGTTTAAACTATGTAAAAACGTTAGTTGGAAGAAGCGCCAATTTAGATTTTAAAACCCACAACGTTTGATGATAATATTACACTAAAGTAGCCTGCACATTGCATACATTCCAAAGGTTTTTCGAGTTTAATTAAGAATAGAATGCACACAACATTTTGCGCCGGATATTTAGAATAATATTATCACGGTCGTGTGGAATGTTAATGTCAATCAAAATGATGAGATTTTGTGAGTTGTTTGACGAATGTGCCGCAGCACCAAGTGGAGGAGCGCGCGGAGCGGGAGGGGGGCGCGTGCGCGGGGCCGGGGCCGGGGCCGGGGGTGGG